TCTCTTATGTCAGCAAGTTTAGATGAAATGTTTTATACTTAATATTCCCTTTTCCTTTTCCCAGGGGTGCACTGGAGCCAGCTTGAACTGGCTCTCAAGAACAAGTAGTTTACATTTTTAGTGTAAACATTTACACTTCATAAATTGGCAAATGCTACATTATTGTTTAGACTTAGAGAAAATGTTAATGCAAAATAAATTCAAAAATGTCTTGTGCATACATATTTTCCCCATTGAGCTGATTGATGAATATTTATCAATACACTCTCCTATCCCCTTTTAAAAAAGTATCTTATGGCATATTACAAATCTAGAGGATAACAGTGTAAAGTATTGTTCACAAAGCAACGTGTGAACAATTGGAATTGAATAGAATGCAAACTGAATTTCTGAGTGCTGAAGAGATTAAGTAGAGGAACTATCACAGTGGAATTAGGAGGAGGCACATTTTGAAGTAGGTAAAGGAGAAGGGAAGACTACAGTGCTTTTGTGTACCAACTTGACATCTTGGTTAAGCAATGTTGCTGTGGCCCCACTGTTATGGATGTAGCTTCTGAGAAGCCACTTCGTCCCATATCCTTCAACTTCTGCCTACAAGCATTTTTTGAGGGACCTCTATATTCAGATTTCTATACAGATGCCATGATGGGCAAAGAAATAGATTAGGTCACTGTCCTTAAAATGTTTTTCTCTTTGTTTTTTTTTAAAAAAAATTATTATAGATATCTTTTTTTAGTATCACCAGAATGTCTTCCAGAATCTTTCTTCCTCTCACATATCAGAGCCATCCCATAAAACAAATATTTTTAAAAAGAAAAAAAGTAGGAAAAGGAAAAAAAAAGCAGAACTGATTAATATTTTGGGGGGGGGAAAAAAGAGAATATGTGCAATGTATCATACCTGTTGACTTGGTGCCTCTGCGTCATAGTGTAGTGAGGGTTTCTCAATAGTGATAGCAACAGCAGAGATAATAATAACCCACATTTATATAGTGCTTTAAAGTTTGCAAAGCATTTAAAAAATATCTCATTTCATCCTCACATTATCCCGGGGAGTAGGTGCTATTATAATTTCCATTTTACGGGTGAGGAAACTGAGCAAAGAGAGATTGAGAGACTAGCCCAGGATCTCATAGGGGGTAAGTATCTGAGGCTAGAATTGAATTTAGGTCTTCTGAACCCCCGGTGTAGTGCCGTATATTCCACCTGCCTGTTTCTTTTGTATCTGCTCTTCTCTCTGTCTTTTTTTTTTAATCTATCTCTTCTTTTTGACCATGCTTGTTCTTTGTAATTTTGTGACATTCACTTTAATTTTTTATGGTAGTGTTTTTTTTTCATTTATATAGCTGTAGTTTTCTTGGTTCTGCTTACTTTACTCTGCATCAAATTTCTATCTTTCCATTCTTTGTATTCATCATATTCATCATTTTATACCATGTACCACAATTTATTAGCCATTCCTCAACTTTTGTGTATCTATTTTGTTTCAAATTCTTTGCCATCACAAAAGCTACTGTTATAAATATTTTGGTGTATATGAGGACTTTTTTTTTCAATCAGTGATCTCTGAGGTATAAGCCTAGTAGTGGAATTGCTGGGTCAAAGATTATAGACATTTTAGTCACTTTACAAAATGATTCTTTCTCAGATGTTTTCCTGACTGACTGACATTAATTGATTTCTGTTTTATTTCATCGTATGAAATGCACCAATACCCTTTAATTCTTTCATAAACTAAAAGAATTTAGATCCAGTAGTCAAGTGAAAAAAGCCTTGGCCTGAGTTAGAAGATCTGAATTCTGTTTCCAGTTCTGCCACCAACTGTGACTTACACAAGTTACTTATGTTCTCTACGTCTTCATTTTCTCTTCTGTGAAATGAAAGGGTTAGACCAGATGATTTTGAGATTCCTTTTAGCTCTACTATTAATATGAATCTTATTCCTAACAACTTATACATTCTTAATGACCTAGAGCTAGATTTCTTTGTTTATTGTGTAAACTTGGCTTGGAGTCTTCACGTAAGAATTGGAGAAAATACTCCTCTTTTGTAGTTGAATGAGCAAAGTTGCTTAGCTCCCTTTGTCCCTTTCCTTGTCTATAGTCAGGAAAGAAAAGGCACTTTTCTCATTGATGGAGGTTCTTTTGAGAGTTCTCCAGAACCTCTTGCCTTTCCAGGAAGCTTATCTAAGATTTACCTCCATCCTTTCTCCTATACATTCCTTTTTGCTTCAAGCCAAGGAGAAGAGGTACATAAAGTGTCTTATATTTCTATAGCTGTCCAAGGTATACAAAAGCCCTCTGAGTTAGGTAGTGCAAGTATTATCACTCCTACTTTACAAATGAGAAAACCAAGGCTCTGGTAAGTGTCAGTGCTGAGACTTAAGCCCGGATTTTTGACTCTAAGACTAATGTGCTCTAACCACTATATCAGGCTGCTTCTTACTTATTACATAGTAGGAACTAAGGAAGGCTTGTTATCCAGATCTTTCATTTCATTGGTTTGGTGAATATTCACTATGGAATCTTCTCTATTATAAAACATCTGTAACATATAATCTATGTTACATATAATCTGTAACATATAATCTATGTTACATATAATCTGTGAACATATAATCTGTAACATATAATCTATGAAAATTACTTGGGGACTGGGAGCTAAAGTGATTTGCCAGTAATCACATTTTGTTGTCAGTATGACATGCACTCAAGACTTTAGGGATTCCAAGACTAGCCTTATATACACTATGCTTTTTATAGAGTAGGGGTTAAAATAAAAAGAGTATGATGTCTGTCTTGGCTCTGAGAAACTGAAACCTCTTGGTGAGGGACGGAGGAGGGAAGACTTCAACATATGACATATAACAAGGTAACAATGTAGGACTATGTAAACAAATGTTAAATTATGTAGTACAGACTATAGAATTTCAGGGAAAGTAGTGATCAGTTGGAATAGGGAAGATTTTGTAAGACTTAGTTCAAGGTGAGACTTGAATTTGCTGTAGAAACCTGCTAGTTCACCAAACTCTTCATACTAATTCTTGTTACATTTACCTCAGTACTTTGATCTGAAGGAGTCCAGATTTTTTAATATCCTGATGGGTTATTGATAGGATGAGATTTAGCTTTGTGGATAGAGAACAGTGATGTAGACTCAATGATTGGTACCCAGGTATCAGTAGCTGATTTTGTTGTTGGATATACATTTTAATCCCTTTAAATTGTACCCTGCAAATAATTTTCTTAGACCTATGTGCTTTTACCATTGTTCCTATTTGGAATGCCCTTCCCATCCTCTCTAACTCTTTCTAAACCTCAGTCAAGATTTCCTTTCCTTAGGCTGTTTTTTAGTTGTTTCAGTTCTGTCCTGTACTTTGTGACCCTATTTGGGGTTTTCTTGGCAGAAATGCTGGAGTAGCTTGCCATTTCCTTCTGCAGCTCATTTTACAGATGAGGAACTGAAGCAGACAGGGAAGTGACTTACTCAAGGTCACATAGCTAGTAAGTGTCAGAGACCAGATCTGAACTGAGGAAGATGAGTCTGCATGACTCCAGGCCCTGCACTCTGTCCACTGTGCTTCCATGCCTTCCCTAATTTACTGATCATTGCTTTACTTTCATTTTCATTAGGATTTTAGTAGTCTTTTTGCTTTCCCTCTTATTTCTGTGAGTCTTTTTCCATATGAGTGCATTTTTCCTGTATCCTGTAGTAGGCTTGGAGAAACCATGTTTCTGATTTTCTTCTCTACTTTAACCGGAGTTCAATGCAAGCATTACATATAGGAAATAACCTGTATACCTATATAGTATTGAATAAAGGACTCCTTCAGAGTCAAATGCCCATACAGTTTCGGGCAATTTATTCTGTTTGCCTTTTTCTGTTGGTAGAGGGAAATGAGTGACCTGAGCTTTTAGGAATTCAGATTGTTGTCCTGGCATCCTGGGAATTTGTTTGACCTGCTTTGGGGAGGTCAGCCTACATTGTTGACTTATTGACAGATGAAGTGAGCTAACTCAGGTAGCATTCTTCACGCATTCCATTAAAGCAGAATATTCTCAGAGTTCTCTGCTTGAAAGCTGAAGTGGCATGTGTCACCAAAAACAAAAAAACAATGACCACTACAAATAGAGCAACAATGCAAGTCAGTAGAAATTTCCTGACTCCACTTTATCTTTGCTCTGCTCTTCATCCTGGTCTGGCTATTATCCTATATGAAGAATTAGCTAGAAATTTGTGACTCAGAAAAGGTATGCTGGCCTCCTTGCTCATGTGTTATTATTATTATTAAAAAGCTTTTATTAATTATCTAATTGCATAGAAAGCATGTGTTGCCCTTTATATAGGGAAGCAGTATAATACAATGAAAAGAGTGCTAAAGGCAGCTAGATGGCACAGTGGATAAAGCTCTGGTCTTGGAGTCAGGAGGACCTGAGTTCAAATGCAGCCTCAGACACTTGACACTTACTAGCTGTGTAACCCTGGGCAAGTCACTTAACCCCAATTGCTAGATTTGGAATCAGAGGACCTGGATTCAGATTCCAGCTCTGCCATTTATTACCTATGTGATGTTGGGCACACTTAACCTCTCTGGGCTTCAGTTCCACATCTAAAATGAGGGAGTTGGATTAGATGAATTCTAAGATTCTGTCCCTGCTCTAAATATACAATCCTATGATCTTGGGCTCTCCTGGAACCTCTCACCCCTCTCACCTCTTACCTTTCCCCCATTCCTCCCCTCTCCTCTCCCAACCCTTCATTTCTTCCTTGGTGCTGATGTGCTTAACTGTCATTTAAAATGACTCCCAGATCTATATTTCTGGTCCTTCTCTCGCCCCAAATTCCCATCCTGCATCACCTGGCCTGTTGGCCATTTTGAATTAGGTGTCTCATAGGCATCTCAAATTCAGCATATCTAAAATCGAACATTATCTTTCCTCATCAAACCAAGTTTCTGAATATCCCTATTGTGAGAAATAACGTATTCAGACTCAGGAGGGATGAAGTTAAAAGCCAGTTTATTATGCAGTTGCAACTTCGGGTGTCCTATGCACTAGGACACATTATACCAAAGTAAGAGTTCACTATTTATCTCTAATCCTGGCCCCAAAGTCCCTCCTCTGTTTCCTCGCTGGCTGAGTACTCCAGAGTGTACAACTTTCTGGCATGCCTATTACACATCTACTCCTTGACATATCTTCTCTCCTTCAACATACATTGCATGTTCAGAAAATGGGGTCTTAGCCCCTCCTGGAGATGGAGAAGATAGTAAACTTAGTATTCATGAGCCTATTAAGCATAAGCACTCTAAGCAAAGCTTAACCTTTGTCCTATTTACTGACTTCTAACAGCAAAACAAGACCAGCCTTATCCTGTTTTACTTAGTTATTTTTCTAGCTGTTTTCTCCAAATTTATGGAAACAAACATTTTCATTGTATCTCTCAATTTCTCACTTTCTGTTTCAATATGGGTTTTGTTTCCATAATTTCTTATTTTCCTTTTTAGCCCTTTTCAAGAAGTTTTAAACATTCTTGCTCCTCCTTTTCTTCTCTAGGACTATGTTTTCTTTTTACTACCATAATTGAGACACCTTGCTTTGTCTTTTTTGGCAGCGTAACAATTCACATCCCTTCTACCAAATGTGAAATAAGCTTTATCAGGGAAGGAATCGAGCAGGGTATAAATAATAATCCGCCTGATTTTAACAGAATTATCATTTCAAGTTGCTTCCACCATGACCCTGTCAGCCAATTAAACCAGTTTTAGTCAAACCATACTTTCCCCTTTTGACTGGCACATGTACTACTTTACAAATTTTTGTAGCCAGATTTCTAACTATTTGCCCATTATCATCAATTTGTAGACAGCAATTACTTACTTAGTTTTCCATAAACCCCTTCTTCTGCTAGAACATAATCTAATACTACTCTATGTTGATACACAGTTGCCTGTGGCTGGATGGCTTGATCAGCAAGAAGTTCTAAAGCTTGTGCAGGTTGGTCTACCTGGAGTCTAATTAATCTATTAAGGAGATAGATGGCAGTTCTGTATCCTTAGCTCCCATCTTGGGCCCAAGTTGCTGGCCCATAGATTTGAATTATTCTTTCAGGTGGCCCTTCATTACCCCAGCCATTGGCACCTCCTGATTGGGTAATACTGGTGTCTAAGGTTCTTTTTCTGTCTTTGGAAACCATCATATAATGGGATCCCAATGTCATACCCCTTTGGTCCTTCTGAAAAGAAAAAGCCTGATCTTACTAATCCTATATAACATACTCCTGTCCAATTAAATGATAGGTGGGTGTAAGCAGTTAGTCCACAAATCCAATAATGCCCCTTTAATGCAGGACTTTCTTCACTAAACAACCTGGGTCTCCCTCGCACTGTGGGGTAATATTGCTTTTCTTCTGATCAAAAGAGTCCTTCTTCCATAAATGTTGAATTACACCACCATAATTGCTGTTTCCCTTTCCATGTACAATTAATGAGGCAACCACTTTCTCTTCTATAGTCCTCTCCCCAGGTTCTCACCTGCTTCTGTTTGGTTCGGGCAATATTGTCCTAGAACACTTCCAGCCAAGGGCCAACTATGTGTTTTTCTTCTTGGTCCCAGAAACCAGTGCCATTCCTTACCTCTGACTGGTTACTGAATATCCCGGCCAGACTCAAAGGTTCTGGGTACCACAGCCACAATTCCGATGTTTCAGGACCTCCACAGACCCAACAACCACTCAGGTTGAAAGTGTTAACCACTATTTTGGCTAGTTGTAAAAGGGCATTAGGAGCAATGAAAGAGGAATGGGACTGCTCTCACTAAGTATGACAGTGGAAGCATTTGCTGTGCTTCTGCCATAATTCTCTCAGGGAATATAGCTGTTCTTATGATTCCTAATACTACACACACAAGAGCCCTACACTTATTATCGCTAAGTAGCTCCTTCAGTAAAGGATTCCCTTCTCTAGGTTTCTCGTAAATGGCCACCAAGAATATTACTACAAGTATAAGAAACAATATTGTAGCACAAGAATGATCAATCCAAGGTCTTTTGAGAACCTCTTCCCTCCCAGATCAGGGCAACTTTAAACAGTCTATTCCTGAGGTTTGTCCACTGGTCCTTTGACTCTGATATAATATGTCCACCCTTTTTCGACTGTCCAGATTGCTGTTTCTGTGGTCAGCAACATTTGGTAGGGTCCTTTCCAGTCAGGCTGAAGTTTGGTCTCCTTCTAGGATTTGAGCAGTCCCCAGTCCCCTGGTTTGTACTTATGCATCGCAAATTCCAATGGAATTCCAGAATTCCAGTCTGAGCCAAAAGTCCTTTCTTCCTCAAATCTGAAAATGTAATGGATAGTGCCAGTATGTAGTTCCTCAAAAATCTATCTTTTGTCTCAAAAGTAGAGATGTCTCCCTGCCCTACTGGATAAGGTAACCCAAACAACATTTCATAAAGTGATATACCAAGATCTTTTTGGGGTGAAGTCCTAATTCTTATTAAAGCTATTGGCAGGCTTTTAGTCCAGGGCATTTTTGTTTCTAACGTTAATTTGGAAATGTGTGTTTTTGGAGTCTGATTCATCCTTTCCACCTTCCCGGATGAGGGAGGGTGCCACGGGGTATGAAATTCCCAGTTTATTTCCAAATAATCCATTATTTGCTGTAAAATTCAGATGTAAAATGACTACCATTGTCTGAATCTATATTTTTCTACTAAACCTTATCATGGAATTACATGTTCCAAAATTATCTTAGATGTGCCTGCCACTGTAGCATTAGGCAAAGGATAAGCTTTGACCCATCCAGTTAAATGGTATTTTCTCAAAGCTAGATCACACATCACTTGCATGCCCCAATGACTTCCTTGATGTAGAATTGATAAAATTTTTCTCATGATTTGTTTATTAACCATTTCTCTCCATCTGGTAATAACTAACAGTCTTGCTCAGTTTCAATCTCCCCAAATTTAATCAAGTCTTCCTTTTCAACTTCTGTAAACACAGGGATCACTTTTGTCTCAGAGACTTGGGGAATTACCACATGCATTTTTGTAGGCTCCATAGGCAAGGCAACCTCCTTAGACTTCTCATCTGCTAATCTGTTCCCTTTTGCTCCAGATATTCTTCCTTTTTGGTGTACTATGGCAATTTCATTTGGTAACAATAAGTTGGCCAGTACCTGCTTTACCAACTCCTTATGTATTAATTCCATCCCTTTGCTGTTATCATTCCCCTTTCATACCAAATTTTTCCAAATGTATGCTTATGTACCCCATAAGCATACTTGGAGTCTGTATATATAGTACCCTCCTTTCCTTCCAACAACTTTAGAGCTTGATTGAGGGCATATAATTCACAAGTTTGAGCTGACCAACTATTGGGTAACCTATCAGATTCCTCTAAAGAGTTACTTTAACCATTAATGACAGCATGCCCATTATGTCTTTTTCCCTCTATTTTTCTGGAAGATCCATCATTGAAAAGACGACGCCCTTCATGGAGGGTGATGTATCTGAAATCTGTATGTATACTTGTTTGATACTCTATGATGTCAAGGTAATTATGTTCCAAATTTTCATATGCTGTCTCTCCTTTTTGAAGGAAAGAGACAGGATTGATACAAGATTCAGTCACTAATACTAAATCATCCTTTTCCATATATCGTAATTTTTTTTGACACTGTAAGACCTTCTTTCCTGAGGAAATTTAGTAGAGCATTTGTTGCTTCCACTACTTTATTTTTCTTTTCTCCTGATATTAATAGATCATCTACATATTACAGTAAAGTGGTTCCTTTTGGCACTGCAAATTTTTCTAATAATTGCTCTAAAACCTGCCCAAATAAATCTGGGAATTCTGTAAATCCTTGAGGTAGAACAGTCCACTGAAATTGTTGTTTTCCTCCTGTAAGGGAGTCCTCCCATTCAAAGGCAAATAAATCTCTTATTTTCTGGAGCTAGAAGGCAGGTCCAGAAGGCATCCTTTAAGTCTACTACACTAAACCATCCATTCTGTTGCGGAATTTTTCCCATGATGGTATAAGGATTGAGGACCACTGGCAGTGAAACTATTTTATTAACTACCCGTAGGTCCTGGACTAAACAGTACGACCCATCAGGCTTACGGACTGGCAAAATGGGAGTGTTACATGGAGACATGCCAGGTTCCAATAACTCGTCTTTTATTAATCCCTCAATAACCAGCTGTATGTAGCCTCTTCTTCCTTTCCATGGGAATGGGATATTGCCTGACCCTTCTTTCTTCAGGGTCACAGTAAATGGAGGGATTTTCAGACCTTCTCTATTTCCTTCTCTAATCCAGACTATTGGATCTATTTGCCTCTCTTCTTCTGTTAGTAATGCTATTTTTACTTGTATTTCCTGGTTATACACTTCCATTTTTAAATTTAAATCCCTCCCTAATAAATTACTCCCTGACTCAGGAATAAATAACAGTTGTCCAATTATCTCTACTTTTAATTTTAATTTAATAGGTTCAGATACAGGTACTGAGAATCTCTCTCCCTTAACTCCCAAGACTATAAGTTTCTGAGTAGAAAATTTTACCCCTTCTGATTTGAAATTCAAAGACAAACTAGTTGCCCCAGTGTCCATTAAAAAGACTACCTCTTCCTCCCATGGTCCCAGCTTTAAGTTTATCAAGGGCTCCAGGTGGGACCAGCCATTCAGGAACCCCTAATCTCCCCATTCCTCATCAAAAGTCTTGAGAGGTGCTAATTTTCCTTCCTTCTTTAGTTTAGGACATTTCCTCTTAAAGTGTCCAAATTTTCCAGAATAGAAGCATCTGGCTGAATTAGAGGAGTTATAATTTGGCCTACCTTTGCCCCTTCCTCTTCCTTTTCCTCTTCCCCCATCCATTCTTCTTGCAGAGCCCTCCTCCCTTTCTTTCCCTTTCCTCTTCCATTTCCTGATCCTTCCCCATCCAACTTTCTCTTAACCGCCTTATCCACGGCTGAAACCATGATTTTGGCTTTCTGTCTCCGCTTCTTGTCTTCCCTCTTCATAAATATTTTCTGTGCCTCCTTAAGCAACTTGTCTAATGGTTTTTCACTCTATCAATTTTCTGCATCTTTTCCTGGATGTCTGGCCTAGATTTGGTGACAAAATTGACCTTTAACAAACTTTGAGCCACCCCCAACTCAGGGTCTGTACCTGAGTATTTTTTTATTTGATATCTAAGTCTTTGCAGGAATGCAGAGGGTGATTCATTTTTCTCCTGTTGAATCTTTTTTTTTTTGGCTAGGCAATGGGGTTAAGTGTCTTGCCCAGGGTCACACAGCTAGTTAAGTGTTATGTGTCTGAGGCCGGATTTGAACTCAGGTCCTCCTGAATCCAGGGCCTGTGCTCTATCCACTATGCCACCTAGCTGCCCCCATCTCCTGTTGAATCTTAAAGGCTTTGTGGAAATTTTGAGACTTAGGTTCAGCTTCCTTGATTCCTTTGATTAATTCCCTCAGATCTCTCATTTTTCTTCTATCTGCCGGGTCATTTGGGTCACTGTTGTCCCAATTAGGGTCAGTATTTGGAAATTTTTGTTCTACAACTAGAACTCCGGGGGCAGGCAGATTATTCCTCTCCCATTCTCTTGGGGAGAAAATCATAAGCATCCCCCTTTCTTTGTCTGAGAACAAAATAATCATAATTGCCATCATTTCAGACCAGGCCTAAAAACCAGGGTCTAAAAATTGGTCTAACTGATCTGCTAAGCCAGTCTCGGGTCCTCTATCAGAGATTTCATTTCTTTCTTAAAATTCCTAACTTCAGTACTTGTTAAAGGGGTGTTTACATATCCAGTCTCCCTTTGAGCCACTGGGACCTCCCTTAAGGGGTATAATTTAGGTTCTCCTTTCTCTTTAGAAGGAAGGGGGGTAATTCTGGAAATCCTTCTGACATTGTTCCAATTCTTTCCTTAATTTACTAAAGTTGGGAGCACTACATGCCCCCGAACTTTCTGGATCTCTCTGTGAGTTCTCAGCTTTCTTTCTCTGATACCCAGATCCTGATTCCTGAAATTCAGCTCTTTCCCGTAGATCTATCAAATCCATCTGGAACTCTGGATGTAGAAGGGCATAAGGGGGCAGAAGGGCAAGAAGGGGGTCCCATTTCTGAGAATCTTCCTTTTTGCATCCATGTTTTCCTTTTTCCTTCGTGTTAAATGAAAACAATGTGACAGAACTCTCTCCTTTTCTAGCAGGAGGCATAATCAGATTCCTGACTGAAAAGATTTTTGTTATTCACCAAAACATTTAATATTTGACCTACCCAATCCTCATCTTCTCCATTTTTGGCCTAAACACTACCAGTGGTAAAATACTCTGTCTAGGCCAAGTAAAGCAGCAATACTTTATCATTTTCTTCTTATCTTTCCCTCTTGGACAAGACTCATCATTCCAGTGTTCCAACATTCTCCCTAAAGGACTATCTGGAGGCAATGTTTTCTGGAGAACTTCCTTTCTCCTTGCCTGGCATCTTAGTTCCCTAATTTCCCATCCTACCTATCTTCCTGATGTATCTTGAACGTGAAAGACCCACTCTTAATTAGAGGTTCAGTTTTGCAAGTCTAAGTTTGAACCTGCGGAGCCAAGCCCCATTTCTATACTTCAGAAGTACACATTATACTCTCAGTCCCCTGTAGGGATAATTCCCCCACTGACAAGGTAATAATAGTCCAGATTTTCTTACCTTGCCCCATATATAAGCTTATGCAGTGGTCATGGTCCTTTGTGCCTATTTTCCACTTTTTTGTTCACGCTTCCTTTTCAATCAGTCTCGGGTCACTGCAGTTGGATGGAAAGGGTGCTCACCCTCAGTCCATGAGGCCGTTAAAAATCAACAGGTATGATAAAAAATTAGCTTCCTGCTCTTTGGTGATGATCGCTTCTCCATCTCAGTGCTTGGTATTCTAGAGGAGCTCCCAAGGAATTATGAGAAATAACTTTCAGACTCAGGAGTGATGAAGTTAAAAGCCCAGTTTATTATGCAGTTGCAACTTTGGGTGTCTTATGGACTAGGACACACTGTACCAAAGCAGGAGTTCACTATTATCTCTAATCCCAGCCCCAAAGTCCCTCCTCTGTTTCCTCACTGGCTGAGTACTCCAGAGTGTACAACTTTCTGGCACGCCTATTACACATCTACTCCTTGACATGTCTTTTCTTCTTCTACGTACATCTCATGTTCAGAAAATGGCATCTTAGCCCCTCCTGGAGATGGAGAAGTTAGTATTCATGAGCCTGTTAAGCACTCTAAGCAAAGCTTAACCTTTGTCCTACTTACTGACTTCTAACAGCAAAACAAGGTAAGACTGGCTTTATCCTGTTTTACTTAGTTACTTTTCTAGCTGCTTGCTCCAAATTTATGGAAATGAACATTTTTGTTATATCTCTCACTTATTTCTGTTAAGACAACACCATTCTTCTAGTCTCCAAGATTCACAACCTAGTAATCTTTGATTCCTTATTCTTCTTTTCTCCACATATCTAGTCAGTTGCTATGCCCTTTTGATTCCTTCTCTATAATATGTTTTGAATCCATACCTTTCTCTGTAGTGTTTCTTGTATCCATGCCCTTCTGTCCATACGTATAGTCACCACCACGTTCAAGAGCTCATCACTTTTTGCCAGAACTATTGCAGTAGTTTCCTAAGTTGTCTCCTTACATCAAATCTGTCCCTTCTCTAATCTATCATCCATTATATGTCAAAATTATAATATTTCTAAAGAACAGATCTGACCACAACACTCTTCCTTAATAAGTTTTGTTGGTTCTCTAGGATCAAATGCTTTTTAAGCCCTATACAACCTGGTTCCAGCTTCCCTGCCAGAATTATTTTACATTATTTTTCTTTAAGCACATAATGTCCAAGCAAAATGTCTTTTTTGCTACTCCTCACAACATTCCATCTCCCATCTCTGTGCCCTCTGTGCTTGCTATTCTCCATGGCAGGAATGTATTTTCTCTTCAATGCCAAAGCTTAGCTCAGGTGCTGCCTCCTTTATGAGGCCTTTCTCGATCCCTTCCTCCCACCTGGTAGTGTCCACCCCATTCTCCCAAATACTTCACAATTATTTTTATATTGCATTTTTTGTGTTTAAATATGTGCTTGTTATCTTTCTTGATAGTATAAGTTTCTTGAATTCAGGGATTGTTTTATTTTAATCTTTGTATCCCCAGTGCCTAAATAGTGCTTTGCACATGTTGGGGACCTAATAAATTGACTTGTGGATTGATCTAGCAATATTATTCTCCTGGCCTACTTACAGTAGGACAAAGTGTTAACTTTGAATTATTTTCTTTTCCTTTTAAATACTTTATTTATATTCTTTTTTAAAAATATATTTCTGTTATTTCTCAATGTCTCCCTTAACTTTCGCCTTTAATAAATAAGAACATTTTAGCAAAATGAAACAAAACAACCCATTGGCTATGTGTGGAAATGTATACTTATTTGGAACCTAGAGTCCTAGGTTCCTAGGATCATATATTTAGAACTGGAAGGGGCCAGCTAAGTGCTGTAGTTGATCTCCCTCATTTTATAGATAAGGAGGCAAGGTTATATGTTTGCTCAGTATCATGTCAGTAACAAATGGCAAAACTGTAATCTGAACCCAGGTCCTCTTACACATCCAGTGCTAAATACAGTGAAGTCGTCATTGGTCACTGCATTGATTCTGAAGCTCTTTAGCATTGTTTTGCTGTTGTTTTCAATAGTGTTTATTGTTGTGATTGTGTAAATTGTTCCCTAGGTTTTGCCTACTTTGTTCTTCATTGATTCATACAGATCTTCCAGATTTTCTCTGAATTCTTTATATTTTAGCTTTTTAATAGCATAATAATATTCCATTACATTCATATCCATTCTCCAAACAATAGGCACCCCCTTTCTTTTCAGTTCTTTCCTACTACAAAAATTTTTGTATGAAAGGGAAAGGAGACTTTTTCCTCTGTGTGTGTATAAGCCTGGTTGGGTAAAAGAGTATGTACTGTTTAGTGACATTTTTAGGGTGATTCCAAATTGTTTTTCAAAAGGATTGGATCAATTCACAGTTCCACCAACAGTGCATTAGTGTACTTATCTTCCCAAAGCCCTTTCAACATTTATCACTTTCATTTTTTGTTATTTTTGTCAATCTGATGGATTTGAGGTGAAACCTCAGAGTTGTTTTATTTTGCAATTTTGAGTTGTTTCCATTTGGGATGAGGTGCTATCATCTGTTTTCAATGGTAAACAAAAGTCAGTGGTACACATTAGATGGCTGTGGAATTATATTTATGACCTAGGTTTTAGCCAATATTTAAAAGAAATAATTTTTAAAATATATTTTGTTTTTACATTGAGTTAATTTCTGAACATACCCCTTCCCATTGAAGTATCTCTCTTAACAAAGAATAAAAAAGAAAATTTTTTTAGCAAAACTGATCAGTTTTTTAACCATAATCTGATTTTATACACACACACACACACACACACACACACACCCCTTCATGATAGTCTTACACTTCTGCAAAGTAGGGAAGAGTTTTTATTTTCTTCTTTCTTCTTTGGTGCTATGCTTGGTCTTTATAATTACCCAACATTCATTTTCTGTTTTCTGTTGTAGTTATTATTTTTTCCATTTATATTGTAGTCAATATATATTTAAAAAAAAATTCTGATTCTGCTTACTTTATTCTGCATTAGTTTATCCAAACCTTCTCATGTATCACTGAGATTAAGGATGCCTGGGAAAGGCTTCTTGCAGAAGGTGGTAGTTTAGCTGAAACTTGAAGGAGGCCAGGGAAGATAGGAAGTAGAGATGAGAAGGAGGATTTTCAGGCATGAGGGAGTGGAGTCAGGAGATGGAACGTCATGTGTGAGGAGCAGCAAGGAGGCTAATGTGAGTGACTGAAGAGTACATAGAAGGAGTAAGGTGTAAGAAGACTGACTGGGCCATGTTATGAAGAGCTTCAAAAGCCAAACAGGATTTTACTTTTGGAGGTAATAAGGAGCCACTGGAGTGTATTGAATAGGGGGGGTAATATGGTTAGACTTGCATTTTAGGAAGATCAGTTTGACAGCTGAATAGAGGACGGATTGGAATGAGGAGAGACCGAGACAGGGAGACCTGAGTGAGCTCTTGATAAGACTATTTTCCAGATGTAAGGTGTTAAGGGCCTGCACCATGATGGTTACAATGCCAGAGAAGAGAAGAGGCATATATAAGAGATATTACACAAAGGTAGACATGATTAGACTTGACCCCTGGTTGAAAATGGAGGTGTGAGAAAGAATGAAGAGTGGAAAATGATACCCAGATTCTAAGTTTGGATGACTGAGAGAATGGTAGTACCTTCAACAGTAATGGAGAAGTTAGGAAGAGGGAGGGTTTGAGGAAAAGATAATGAGTTTTGTTTTGGACATGTTGAATTTAAGATATATATGGGACTTCCAGGCAGATGGATAGATTATCGGGCCTGGAGTCAGGAAGACCTGAGATCAAATGTGGCCCCTGACATTTATTAGTTTTGTGACCCCGGGCAAGTCACTTAACCCTGTTTGTTTCAGTTTCTTCATCTTTAAAATGAGCTGGAGGATGAAATAGCAAACCACTCCAGTATCTTTGTCAAGAAAACCCCAAAAGGGTTCAAACATGACTGAAAAATAACTAAACAACAAAGCTTTATGACTTTGGGAAGTCATTTTTCTGGATACCAATTTCCTCTTTTGTCAGTAAGAATTGTCTTTTTTTTAATTTTTAGGCAATTGGGGTTAAGTGTTTGCCCAGGTTACACATCTAGTAAGTGTCAAGTTTTGGTTTGAGGCCGGATTTGAACTAGGTCCTCCTGACTTCAGGGCCAATGTTCTATTCAGTGAGCCACTTAGCTGCCCCTTTTTTCCCCCCCTTTTTTTTGTCAGTAAGAATTGTAATCTCAGCTCTAGGTTTATGTCCAAGGAGGTTATGAGGACTACATGAGATGATGCTTATAAAAAAATTGGAAAGCATATACACACACCTCCTCATATGTGAGGGTGCATACACAATATACAAAATACTATGCTTAATAGGCATATGACCCAGTTTGGCTTGCTGCATTTGACTGTGTGATTTTATTTGTGATGTGGTGATATGTCAGTGTAGGTGAGAATGGGTTAGCACTCTAGTTAAGACCTTTCCTTTGTCCAACCAGAGTCCCTTCTCTCTATCTTTGAGGGAATGAGGTCCCACTGCCCATTCATGGACATGTATAGATCCCATCTTTCTGCTTCTTCCCTTGCCTATAGGCCAAATAAATTTCCTTTCCATCTTGGGTAGGAGGGAGAATGCCTCTGTAGATAAATCTAGAGAAAGAGACCCCTGATATTAATAACTGTGCCTACCTTTCTGTTGGGGAGGTTCTTGGTTACCTCCTTCCCTTTTGTGAGAATTTTAAGGTTCCTTCTGTGCTAGGGGAATAGAAAATAACAGCTCTATTTTAGGGGGAGATAATTTTTGACTGACAGGCCCATTTCAGACTCTTTCCTCCTAGTCCACACTATTGATTGCCATTACAAGTCTTTAAAAATTCTCTGTGTATGGATATAATAACCCTTCCTATCCTCCAAAAAATGCAAAGAAGGTTCTTAATTTTTCATGATAGGATTTATACCTTCTAAGGGCCTACCTGACTAATCTCTCCCCCTTCGTCTCCCCTCGGACAGGAGGAGCTAGAGCACCTGAACCAGGCCAGTGAGGAAATCAACCAAATAGAGCTACAACTCGATGTGAGTGTCCCTGTACATCCACCTGGGACACCAACATGGGAACAAGTTAGAATAGATTCCCAGGAATCCAAGAGATGTCTTGTGCAGGGAGCAGCATTGGATAGTGGAAAGGGTATTGGATTTGGAGTCAGAGGACTTGGGTGTCTGTAAAATGAATGGGTTATATTAAATGAACTTTTAGGATCCTTTTCAGCAATAAATCTGTGGTCCTGTAATAATTGCTTTCTGCAATTGCTTTCTCTTTTCCTCCCTTGTCTTCCTTTTTTTGTTTAAATTTATATTGGGGGATGGAGGAGGGAATGGAGGAAAAGAAACTTTTTTTCCTCCTTTAACTTTACCTTCTATGGAAGACATGGAAACAGCAATAATTTTGTTTTTGTTTCAAACTAAATCTTGGATTCCTGGGACCAAGGATGACCGTTTCCCTAGCTATAATTCCATCTTGAGACCATGGTATATTTTGGGGAAAGGGGAAAGGGGACAGTCTTTAGGTTGGGGAATTTTAGAGCAGCTAGAGAACTATCCAGTAATCTTGACTTTTCCT